AACACATTTTCTTTCAAGGAGTTCAATGGACTGTAATTTTTCCCAGGGTGGGAGTTTATACTAGGACATCATCTTTTTATCCCACTTGTTGTGTTCCTTCCGAAAATTCAATATTTGCAATTGCGTTTATAAGTATTTTGAATAATGTGGGGCTGAAGACCCCTTCTTGGGGAGTCCCGAGTTCCACACACTGTTCTCGAGACTGTTCCATTGAAGCAGACAATGGTTTCCTCCCTGTAAGGGAGTCTTCAACCAATTTCATGAGTCTCCCCTTGACACCCATGCACGCAAGCTCGCCCAGGACAATTTGCTGTGTTCTATCCTTTAACAAATCCATTGACCCCCTCCCCTAGCCTGCCTATGTTGTGAAACAGTTGGATTACAATGAGCCTTTCAAGCATCTTGCAAGTGCATGACGTGAGACTGAGAGGTCTATAATTGCCAGGGTCATTGGGCTTCGGTATGGGGACAATTATTGTGTGTTTCCATTGTGTGGGCAACACTCCACTGAGGAATGACTTTCTGGTCCAGTGACCCCCCTCGTCTGGTCCTGTGACCCCCCTCGTCTGGTCCTGTGACCCCCCTCGTCTGGTCCTGTGACCCCCCTCGTCTGGTCCTGTGACCCCCCTCGTCTGGTCCTGTGACCCCTCGTCTGGTCCTGTGACCCCCTCGTCTGGTCCTGTGACCCCCCTCGTCTGGTCCTGTGACCCCCCTCGTCTGGTCCTGTGACCCCCCCTCGTCTGGTCCTGTGACCCCCCCCTCGTCTGGTCCTGTGACCCCCCCCTCGTCTGGTCCTGTGACCCCCCTCGTCTGGTCCTGTGACCCCCCTCGTCTGGTCCTGCGACCCCCCTCGTCTGGTCCTGTGAACCCCCTCGTCTGGTCTTGTGACCCCCCCCTCGTCTGGTCCTGTGACCCCCCTCGTATGGTCCTGTGACCCCCCCTCGTATGGTCCGGTGACCCCTCGTCTGGTACTGTGACCCCTCGTCTGGTCCTGTGACCCTTTCGTCTGGTCCTGTGACCCCCCTCGTCTGGTCCTGTGACCCCCCTCGTCTGGTCCTGGGACCCCCCCTCGTCTGGTCCTGTGACCCTTTCGTCTGGTCCTGTGACCCCCCTCGTCTGGTCCTGTGACCCCTCTCGTCTGGTCCTGTGACCCCCCTCGTCTGGTCCTGTGACCCCCCCCCCCCCTCGTCTGGTCCTGTGACCCCCCCCCTCGTCTGGTCCTGTGACCCCCCCTCGTCTGGTCCTGTGACCCCCCCCCTCGTCTGGTCCTGTGACCCCCCTCGTCTGGTCCTGTGACCCCTCTTCTGGTCCTGTGACCCCCCTCCTCTGGTCCTGTGACCCCCCTCCTCTGGTCCTGTGACCCCCTCGTCTGGTCCTGTGACCCCCCCTCGTCTGGTCCTTTGACCCACCTCCTCTGGTCCTGTGACCCCCTCGACTGGTCCTGTGGCCCCTCGTCTGGTCCTGTGACCCCCCTCGTCTGGTCCTGTGACCCCCCTCGTCTGGTCCTGTGACCCCCCTCGTCTGGTCCTGTGACCCCCCTCGTCTGGTCCTGTGACCCCCCTCGTCTGGTCCTGTGACCCCCCTCGTCTGGTCCTGTGACCCCCCTCGTCTGGTCCTGTGACCCCCCTCGTCTGGTCCTGTGACCCCCTCGTCTGGTCCTGTGACCCCCCCTCGTCTGGTCCTGTGACCCCCCCTCGTCTGGTCCTGTGACCCCACTCGTCTGGTCCTGTGACCCCCCCTCGTCTGGTCCTGTGACCCCCCCTCGTCTGGTCCTGTGACCCCACTCGTCTGGTCCTGTGACCCCCCTCGTCTGGTCCTGTGACCCCACTCGTCTGGTCCTGTGACCCCCCTCGTCTGGTCCTGTGACCCCCCTCGTCTGGTCCTGTGACCCCCCTCGTCTGGTCCTGTGACCCCCCTCGTCTGGTCCTGTGACCCCCCTCGTCTGGTCCTGTGACCCCCCTCGTCTGGTCCTGTGACCCCCCTCGTCTGGTCCTGTGACCCCCCTCGTCTGGTCCTGTGACCCCCTCGTCTGGTCCTGTGTGTTGGATATTTCCAACATCGAATACAGCATTGTTGTATTCTCATTACTTATTACTAACCATACTTAATATTGTAGTAAGTAAAATTAACAACTCGTAGAATTCTCCTGTACTAATAATTCATCTGTGCATTAGGCTAGAATTCTCACGTCACCTGACGCCAGTATTGCGTCAGATTTCTTTACAGTAAAACACATTATATTCAATTTGTGTGAGAATTAAATACGATTCTCCATAATTAAAGCATTCTGTATGACAACTGACTGCAGACGAATTGTTCTCTAACTAAAAGCCGAATAGAGCGTTAGAATTATACCGTCTACCTCGCGATAGTGTTAACGTCATCAATGAATGCCGTGGGGAGACATTAATTCCTCTCCCTTATATATTTACTATTCTTAAATCGGTAAATAATAATATTTCGTTCCTCTAAATAATAAACCCGTCCAGTCTTTAGAGTTTCAAGCGCGAATGCGAGAAATATTAATGTTCAAGACAATAATTTGTGTCATGAACGTCGACTCGGCGTGGGTTGGGGGACGCCATTCGGAGTCGGGACGCGGACACGTGCAGAGCCGGAAGGAGGCAGAACCGCACTTACCGTATTCAAAAACGACGCCATTGCCCAGCAAATCGGGCAGGTGTTATTCATCCGTAGATGAAAGCCGCCACTGTGAGGCGTGAACGACCTTGCAGATAATATCTTCAACTAGTGCTGGTGTTAAAAGAGGGACCCCTAGACTTTGTTCCTGACGACACGTGATCAGCCAGCTTGAAACGCATCAATCCAGGATAGGTTCACCGGAGCCTGGGATGCGAAATTACGGCAATCTTAATACTTATACAGTGCCCACAGCTAAGTACCTTTTATTTGATGCATCATTTATGGGTTTAATAATAGCGGGGTGATTGTTCGTCACGCAGCGGGATAACACCTAATAACAGGTGATTAGAATTCCATCTGTAGATATCAATAATCTTGAATATGAATTGAGTAGTTAAATCAATTGCTACTGGTAGTTATTTATCTTGCAGCTCGAGAGACGAATTCCTCATGCTGTCTTCTCCATGTTAACCGTGCCATTCGTCAGTGTACCAGACTTGGAGATTAAGAGGACTTCCAGGGTTATCTAAAGGAACCTACTACAAGCTAAGGCTTATTTCTTTTTTCCATATTCTAGCAATTTGATACATTCAGAATGTTTCAACATAATGTGTGATTTACTGTAACTCATTGCTATGCTCATATTCATGTCCTTCTTTATATGAATAATATTATATTCAGCATTATTTATAGGATTAGATTATTATTAATTGAATTAGTGAACGAACCACACTGATTCCTGGACGTACTGACCTCCAGTAATAACCCCCCAATGTAGGTGTTTGAGGTTTGTTTCTTTAATAATACAGCCCATTAATTATTCTTATGATCATACTTTCTAGTCATATCCATAGTCACTGGTTTTCTCTAGAATTTTATCTAATGATCTGAAATTCTCAGTTTCCCTCTTTACTTTAAAAGCGGGTGGTCCTTCGTAATTTAATTTACTATTTTTAATTATTAATTAATCAGAATCAAGCCCAAATATCCCACATTATGGTCCTTATCGAACCGGATAGGCATTAAATTTATAATTAAAATATTAACCATTAATAACTAATCCTTGTGTGATAGAAGCTAGACTAACTATTTAATTAATTGTGTCAACTAACAGTATAACACATCAGTTAGTCTAGATCACACTAACATAGCTACCTTATACATAGCTGTAGTGGGTCATAGCCAATTACCCACAACATTTAGACCTACACTTCATACTGAAGTAGAACCCTTAGGTCACCAAGAGCAACAGCTCATAACCTTATATTAATCACTAACACCAATTAAGTGTTAACCATTTAGGCTATACCAATGCTTCAATATATGGCTGTCAGCAGACCGTCCATTATAGCCTGAATCCATGTTAAAATTACTGATTCACTCAAGCCAGTGGATCATTAACATTTAGGGATCCAGTATACTAATATAAATTACTGATCTCATACTAATTAATCATTACTAACCCTGATAATATTTTATTCCACAATTAGGAGTACATTCAGGAGTTAGATAATATTTACGGCAGTAGAATACTTGCCAAACACAATTAATTCCTTTGTGTTCATTTAATTTCTCATACACATAATTACACAAGTGTATATTATATATAAAAAAAAAAAAACACAGCACAACTATATTTACCTTATTGCACCACAATAATCTTTACCCATGTTATTAGGTAGAATTTAGGCTGAGATTGTGCTGAATTTGGTACAAACCCAGACTAAATAATTTTATAGTTCTTAGCTAGGAATTATTACGACTAGATCTAAAACTAGTCAGTGTTGTGTGTATATTATATTATCTGTGCTGACCCTCTATAGGGTGGGATAAATTTAGAGATAACTCTGATTGGAGTGTCTCCATAATATTTCTCTTGTATACATTATTTTGTGTATCTATTTTGTGTATTGCTGGATTATCTCCATTAACTCTGATGGTGATATGGATGAGCTAACCGGACGAGAACTAGTGGTGAGATTCAGACAGTACACAAAATATCTAGCTATTTCGTGTTAGGTAGGTAAACCCATAGTCTATACAAGTATATTAGGCTATTCCCATTGATATTGAAATCCACTGAATGAATCAATATCCCAGTTACTTCAGTAATAAGTATTTACTGACCAATCAGCCTTTACCCAACAAGATGGATACGGCTACCAAAATGAAAAGGACCCATGTTGGTCTGAAAGGTCATTTAACCCGACAGATTAATAAATGTCAAAATCTGTCACAACAGTCAACGGTTGATTACTTTGAATTAGAGGATTTATTACAAGTTGCTGAAAGTAAATTTGCTCATATTAAGCAACACATGAATTTGTATTTGACCGAACTGCAATCAACCTCTATAGAGAGTAGTGAACTTGATGAGGTTATAGATGAGTTAGCTCAGTATGAAGAAGATATTCGAGTTAAGCTTCTACCCTATAAGAAGCAAATTGCTAAAAACAAGCTGACAGTAACTTCCACTGTACGTACAGATCCTGAGGTTAAATTACCTCAAATCAACATACCCACATTCTCTGGTGATGAGAACGAAAGTTGGGATGATTTTTGGAGTAAGTTCGTAGATGCAGTAGACTCTAAAACTAACATTCCTCAAACCACCAAATTCACTTATTTACAAGGCCTGTTAAGAAAGGAAGCCTTGAAAGTAATCTCCAATATAACACTGACCAGTGATGGTTAAGCATCAGCTGTACAATTGCTCCAAACCAACTACGATAACAAGGAGAGAACTGTTACTGTCTTAGTTAAAAAATTGCTAGATTTACCCTCTGCTAATAATTCTGCAGAGTCTCTCCAAAATTTCAGACTAGAGTTAGAGTCTTTACTCAAGGCCTTAAGCCTTAAAGTCCAAATACAGTCAGCCGAATGGATGACTAAAGTAGTTGTTAAACGAAAATTACCAAGAGAAACTTTAGATAAGTTGTGGACTATTTACAATACGACCTTTTTGACTCTGAAAGAAATCACAGAAGGTCTACATACCTTAGTCGAAAGACAAAGAGCCAATCAAGACGGGGAGAAAGTTACAAACTCCTCTACTAACTCTCATCGTAGCTCAACTCAAGTTGACACTTCTATCAAACCTAAACAGACTTTAAACAAGTCTAATAAATTTACATAAAAAACTACTCTATCCACTGGGAAAAGAAGTGGAAATGTAGGTACATATTCGGTGTCTCCTCCTGAGATGACCCATGACTTGTCTAATAAAGAGAACAAGTCAAACAAAGAGAGAAAGTGTCTGCTCTACAATCAAGGGCATACCGCATACCAATGCTCAGTTTATCCTACTTATAATGCTAGGATTAAAAGGTTACAGGAATTGCATAAATGCACTAGATGTATGGGTTCTCATGATCCCAAGAAATGTGCAGTACCACTACGTACTTGCAACCGTTGTAAACAGGGTGTACACCACTACGCCTTATGTAGGAAATCTCCTACACCGACTATGACCACTGGAGAGAATTTTACTAATTCTACTTCAGTGCAATATTGTAAAGTACATCACGAAGTGAATGTACTCGCTACTGAGTCGGGCAACAGTACAACCTTGCCTACCGCTCAGCTTAAATTAATAAACCGAAGATCTAGGATTAACAGTAGAGGTCTCTTTGACCAAGGTTCCCAAAAAACCTTCATCACACAACAGTTGGTAGATGATTTAAATTTAAAACCTACCAAAAGTGTGAAGTTAAACATTTCTGGTTTCCTATCAAATAGTGGACCACGTGACTACAAGGTAGTTAAATTACTAGTTAGACTAGGATCCTCTGCTAGCCCAATCCATGCGGTGGTAGTGGATAAGATTCCTACGGACCTGCAGGTCACAGGAGGATTAGCTCGCACAGCGAGACACCTTAAGCGAAACCGCATGAGGCTAGCGGATCATAAAATAAATTCCGATTGTCTCACAGATATTGGAATATTAATAGGCGCGGATCATTACTAAAAGTTTATCACTGGATGCACTAGGCAACATGGTATGAATTTGTTGTCATCCGCAGGTGGCAAATTGCTCACAGGACCCATGCTTTTCAGACAAGGTCCAGCGCCCACAAACCAACAAACCAATAATGTAATTGTGGCGTGACTAGGCTTAGAGCAGTCACCCCCACGCTTCAGAGAAATAGCCGAGGACATTGAGTCTGACCCACCAATACATCGTTTGTGGGATTTAGATACGTTAGGCATCATCCCTGAGCAACCAAGTCCTGATGATACATGGACTTACCAGCAATATCTGGATACAGTTGTCTACTCAAATAAACAATACTGGGTAAGACTTCCATGGAAGTTAGATCATCCCCAACTTCCAGTGAATTATTTTATGGCAGCCTCACAATTGCGGTCTCAATTAACACGACTGCAGAAGCAGCCAGAAAAATTAACCATGTATCACCAACTTATCCAACAACAACTTAACAACAAGTTCATTGAAGTTGTTGAACACGATGACCGAAAAACAGGTCATTATTTACCACACCATGCTGTGGTGAAAGACTCACTGACAACACCTATTCGTATTGTCTTTAATTGCAGCGCTAAAGTAAAGCCTAATAGTGTGTCTCTAAATGAATGTCTCCAAACGGGACCTAGCCTAACACAGAGGCTACATGACGTATTGTTACGATTTCGCACAGGCATTTTTGCCTACACTGCCGACATCAGCAAAGCCTTTCTCCGAGTAGGATTGCAGGAGGAAGATCGTGACTACACAAAATTCCGCTGGTACAAGAATCCACTGGATCCTAACAGTGAAATAATCACCTATCGGTTCGCCTCTGTATTATTTGGTGCTACATCCTCACCGTTTCTTTTGCAAGCAACACTAGACACGCATTTGAGGAAATCAGACAGCCCTTATAAGGCAACCATTAGCGACAACTTATATGTCGACAATTTCCAGGGGACAACTAATGACCAAGCTGATCTGGTAGAAATCTACCATGAGGCTAACCGTGAATTGTTAGGAGCTAATATGCCTCTACAGTCATGGGCCTCAAATAATAAACTGCTTAACCAGTTAATTGAGAAAGAATTTCCTGATTATCAGGTACCCAGTAACTTAAAGGTTCTAGGCGTGGAATGGAACACCAACACTGACGAGATGAATGTCAAGTCAGTGCAAACTGATAACTCAACCCTTACCATGAGAACACTGCTCTCATTTGTCAGTCAACCATTTGACCCTTTAGGCCTACTTAGTCCTATATTAATAAGGGGCAAACTCCTAATGCAGGAGTGCTGGCAACAACATATGGGATGGGATGATCCGTTACCAAGTGAGTTACAAACCAAATGGCAAATACTCTCAACGGATTTTAATCAGTTAGGTGTTTTGAAATTTCCACGTAATGCTTCAGGACCAAACTTACCCACCAATTTACACGTTTTTTGCGATGCCTCTGGCAAAGCATATGGCGCAGTAGCCTATTTAGTTAAGTGCTCAATCAATTTTACTCACATCAAAGGCAAGAGTTGCTCCCATCAAGAAAAGATCCTTACCTCAGATGGAGTTGACTGCATTGCTAGTGGGAGTAAGGTTGGCCCATTGCCTGGCAAAGACACTCAGTGATATCCACTTTGGTGAGATTGTAGTGTGGTCAGACAACGAGGCAGTCTTACAATGGGTAAGAAACAATAACAACAAAACTCCTTACGTCAGTAATCGCGTCAGGGAGATTCATGATTTATCCGCAGGTTATAAGTTTAGACATGTCCCTACTAAGGACAATCCTGCAGATTATTTGTCAAGAGGATTGACATTAAAACAACTTGTCAAATCTTCGCTGTGGTTCAATGGACCTTCATGGCTTGTTGGTGGTCAGTGGCCCAAACAAAAGCCACAAGTCATAGTGACCAGTATCACCGCTCCCATGAAGGAACCAGAACCTCAGCGAACATTAGCCATTAATCCTCATCATTATTCCAACTTAAGCAAATTGTTACGAGTGACTGCACACGTGTTTGATTTTCTCTCTAAAGTAGGAATACGACACAAATTTCCCAATCCTGTTCACTATTGGATTAAGCGGGCGCAGCAAGAGACTTACGGAAGCGAATTTGAGAATCTTCCGGATAAACTCACTAAATCTCTGGGCATCTGGTACGATGTCAACACTCATAACATACTACGATGTGGAGGACGTTTGCTACATGCAAAGATTGACTTAGACACTAAGAACCCAATCCTTTTACCTCGCCACCACATCATAACTAAACTTTTTGTCTTACATCACCATCAATATGGTACCCTACATGGTGGAGTTTTAGATACTCTCACCGACCTTAGACAAAAGTACTGGCTCCCTCAAGGTCGTCAGACTGTTAAGACCATTATTAAATCTTGTGTAATCTGTAAGAGATACGACGCTAGAGTCTGTCCTTACCCAGGACCTCAGCCACTCCCAGAAGAGCGAGTAGTTCATCTTCGTCCATTCGAAACCACTGGAGTAGATTATACAGGAGCCTTACTTCTCACTGGTAACCCAGATAATATACCAGTGAAGGCGTACATTTGTCTCTTTACATGTGCTACAACCAGAGGTGTGCACTTAGAGGTCACCCCAGACATGAGTGCTGAAGCTTTCATTCAAGCTTTCCGCAGATTTGCTGCCCGTCGATCATGTCCTAGATTAATGATATCAGACAACGGATCTAATTTTGTAGCGGGAGAAAGTTGTTTGCGAGAAGTCTGGAACCACCCTGAAGTGCAATCAGTCTTACAAAGAAGACAATGTCACTGGAAATTCATAGCACCAAGAGCCCCTTGGCAAGGTGGGTTCTATGAGCGAATGGTAGGCACAGTCAAAAGATGTCTAAGGAAAACGTTACACCGACAAAGGGTCAGTTACTCAGAACTCCAAACTATTGTTGTGGAAATCGAGGCGCGAGTCAATAATCGCCCGATCACCTACCTGTCTGATGATTACACCCAGAGAGAACCATTGAGCCCCTCTCACTTGATTCATGGAGGTCTACTGAGCCCTCTCATCCCCTTAGCCGAAGAGGACCCTGTAGACCCATCCCATGTGACCAGAGGAGACTTGGTGGAAAGCTACCAGCATCTTTCTAGAGTTATTAACAAGTGGAATGAGGTATGGACTCGAGAATACCTCACAGCTCTACGAGAGTACCACTACGGAGCTTCGAGCCCTTACAATAAGGTACAATTAAAACCTGGAGACCTTGTACTAGTCGACAGTGATGGACCAAGGTCCGAGTGGCCTATAGGAAAAATCGTCACCATTCACCCAGATCGACACGGTGTCCTAAGAGTGGTTAAGGTCTTATGCAAAGGCAACACTACTCTAAAAACTTTAGAGAAGCTGGTTCCCCTAGAACTGACTGAACAAAAATATCAGTCAGATCCAGTTTCCCCAGTAATTTCAGAGGACAATGAATTTGTTCCTCCAAGCAACCGTCCCACTAGAGCTGCAGCTCAACAATGTAGGCGGAATTTA